CTGATCCAAGCCATGCCGAGATTGTGATCCTGCTTCTGCACGCAGCGTTGAGCAGCGTCGGGTCGAATATCAGCCGCAGGTCGAAGAAGAAGCGACAGATCGATGTTTTTCAGCTTCTCGTTGCTTGCTGTGACGGACTTGTACACCTCTAGCATGTCAGCCCGTCCAACCATTTCGTCCATCGTCCTGAATCCCATTTCGGCCATAAGTTCACGAGCTTCCTCCGCTACCATGAAGAAAAAGTTGATCACGTCTTCGGGTTCTCCGGCAAACATTTCCCGTAGTACCGGGTCTTGAGTAGCGATTCCCACGGGACAAGTGTTCTAGTGGCACTTCCTCATCATGATGCAGCCCAACGTAATCAATGGAGCAGTGCTGAATCCAAATTCTTCCGCTCCAAGCAGAGCAGCTATCACAATGTCCCGTCCAGTTTTCAGCTGTCCATCAGTTTGCAATGTGGTCCGTCCTCGAAGATCATTTGCAACTAGCGTCTGATGAGTCTCTGCAAGACCAAGCTCCCACGGCAAGCCTGCATTTTTTATGCCAGTCCAGCGCGACGCACCGGTACCCCCTTCATGGCCCGAAATCAGGACGTGGTCTGCATGGCCTTTCACGACCCCGCTGGCCACTACACCAATACCGGCTTCAGAAACTAGCTTCACGCTGATACGAGCACCTGGATTCGAATTCTGCAACGAAAGGAAAAGTCACAACACGAAAAGAAATATATCGAAATAGCTTACCTTCAGATCATAAATAAGCTGAGCAAGGTCTTCAATCGAATAGATATCATGATGTGGTGGAGGACTTATCAAACCAACGCCCGATGTAGAGTTTCTTGTTGTCGCAATGTCTCCTATAACCTTGTGCCCCGGAAGCTCACCTCCCTCTCCAGGTTTTGCTCCCTGCGAAGAAAAGAAGAAAAAAGAAATAGAAACGCCTAGTTACTTTACAAAATAAACGAACCTGAGCCATTTTGATTTGAAGTTCATCAGCATTCGTAAGATAATAACTGGTGACTCCAAATCTTCCACTGGCGACTTGCTTGATAGCACTTCTTTTCGGGTTCATCTGGCCGTTAGGCAACGCCTCCAGTCGAGAAGGATTTTCACCTCCCTCACCTACGAATTTAGGCGGTTTAGGCGGGCTAGAAGATTTTTAACAGTAACTTACCAGTATTAGATTTTCCTCCGATTTGGTTCATTGCCATCGCCAAAGTTGTGTGAGCCTCCAAGGAAATAGAGCCGTAACTCATAGCACCAGTACAGAAACGCTTCACGATTTCGCTGGCAGGCTCCACCTCCTCTAATGCAACCGGAGTTTTAGAAGCTTTGAACTTCAACATCCCACGCAGGCTGCATTTTTTGTTCAGTTCGTAAATCCGCTTCGAGTAGTCCTTGTAGGCTCCAACGCTGTTAGTCCGAGCAGCTTCCTGTAACTTTGCCATCGCTAGCGGGTCATTCAGATGAATCTCGCCATCTTTCCTCCAGTGATAGTCTCCGGGATTTGGCAGAGCATGAGCTTCAGCACTTCCCGGTGGCAGCTTGCGAGAGGGAAACGCCAGCTCATGCAATCGAAGCGAATCCTTTGCAAGCATCTCAAACGTAGCACCCTCCACCCTGCTTGGTGTACCTCTGAAGCACCTCTGCACTACGTCCGAAGAGAGGCCAAGGGCTTCGAAGATTTGAGCTCCTTTGTACGATGCCAAGGTTGAAATGCCCATCTTGGCAAGGACCTTGAGAATACCCGAATTCGAAGCTTTGAAGTACTTCTGGACCAGCTCGTCTTTAGAACTTAGGACTCCATTCTCCTTAGATGGTATTTTGCCATCTACCTGTAACCTCCAGATAGCTTCAACGGCCAGGTAGGGACATATCGCGTCTGCTCCAAATCCTAGGAGTGTGCAGAAGTGATGTACCTCCCTAGGCTCACCAGATTCCACCACTAAACCAATGCGCGTACGCTCAAGAGTTGAGACGAGATGGTGATGAACAGTTCCAACAGCCAATAAAGAGCTCACTGGAACTCGTTCAGGAGAGGTTCCTGATTCATGAGCAGTATATAAGTGATCTGAAGCTGAAAAGTGTATGATAAAAAATACCTCTGTCCGAAAGAACCAGCATTTTGAACCCCTTCGATATGGCTTTCCTGGCTTCCACACATATTCTGTCCAGAGCTTTCTCCAGACCAGTAGGTCCTTCCTCTCGTGGAAACGTGATGTCAATTATTTTGCTCCGCCAACCCTGGTAGTTCATCTTCTTCAGCGCTTCCATTTCCAAAGGTGATATGAGCGGTCCCTTCAGAGAGAGCCGGTGGAATTGCTCTTCTGTCGACTCCGTCAAATCACCCTCCGGTCCGATCATGCACTCTGTCGATGTGACGATAGCTTCACGGATAGGATCTATCGGCGGATTTGTAACTTGAGCAAACATCTGCTTGAAGTACTCGAAGCTGAGCTTTGGCCGATCGGTCATAACGGCCAACGGTGCGTCATTTCCCATCGAGCCAAGGGCCTCCACACCATCTTTGGCCATTGGAAGTAACAGCATCTCGAGCGCTTCAACAGTGTACCTACACAAAGGTATAAAAACATCAGTGAAGGTGATGGAGACCAGACCGGCTAGGACTCTGATACCAAATGTCTTGAACAGCCTTTGGCACTTGTTACTGTATTTGCAGTGACGTGCTGAGGATTTAACTTCCTAATAGACCTTACAAGAGCAACCAAACATAAGAAAAAAAATGGAGAGAAGTATACCCAAAAGCTTTGAGCGGTGGTACCAATCCATGAATCCCCATGTTGTCCCTCGTTGCATCCGTCTTTTTAGGCTGCAAATCCTCCATGAGAACCAGGAACAATGAAAACAAATAAAAGAAATCAGGGACGGAAATTACCTGCAGAGTTCCAATAATTCGTGGAGATGTGCAGTCTTCTGAAACAGAGTCCACGATGTCCTTGAGCAAAATTTTCTGATGTTGGAGCCACTCAGCATATGGTTGACGCGTAGAATACTCTTTCTTAAGGGCGTCGTCGTCCACAACGGCATGGTTCTCAAAATCCACGAGAAGCATCATACCCGGATTTAAGCGACCTTTTTTGCTTACATCCTGGGGTGGCACATCGACTACGCCGACCTCACTGCCCATGATCACGCGGCCACTATGAGTGATGTAGTAACGCCCTGGTCGAAGTCCATTTCGATCCAGAGTTGCACCAAGATAACGACCGTCCGAGACTGGGAGAAATACGACAGACAATTAAAAGCGCTCTACAACCAACAGGATTAGCACTTACAAGCAATAAGCGCAGGTCCATCCCAAGGTTCCATCAAAGCAGAAAAGTACTCGTACAGAGCTCTTCTTTCTGGATCCATATTCTTGTCATTCTGCCATGCTTCCGGTATCATCATCATCATTGCCTCCGGAAGACTTCGACCAGAGCGTACAAGAAACTCCAACACACCATCAAATGAACCTACAACAACACCATTAAAATCCCTCAAAATACGCTCGTTCACTCACCGGAGTCGGAGGAGCTAGCGTCAACAATAGGAAGCAGTTTCTGGAGTTCGTCATTTGAAAGGTCAAGCGCTCTGCATTTCAAAAGGCCTTCCCGAGCTCGCATCCTGCACTCTGGGGTTACTGGTGTTTCTAAATTCGCAAGATTATTACCAATTGACATTTCCTCGAAGAGTATTGATTTCTCCATTGTGACCAAGAACTCTCATTGGTTGCGCCCGATCCCAGCTAGGAAATGTGTTTGTTGAAAATCTTGAATGCACCTACAATTACAACGCCACTTAGGTGAATATGGAGGAAATTGATGTGCTCACCAAAGCCATATAGCTTGTAAATTTGTCGTGACAAAGATCGGACGCGTAGTATTTCTTGAGCTGGTCTGGTTTGAGCTGCCCCTTGTAAACAACAGTTCTCGATGAAAGGGAACAGATGTAGAAATCACGAACAGCACCATGCTGGAGATTAAGAGCAGCTCGAATGGCAACCATGGACAGCTTGCGCAAAATATACATCTGCGGCACATATTAAAGTGTCAGTGCGACCGATGAGAAAAAATAATTGTCAAGATCACAAACTGCCTGTAGTGTTATGATCACCTCCATTCGAACTCGAAGAATAGAATGGAAGCCTGTGGCATAAAGGAACACATCCCTGCAAACCGGGTAGAAGAGAGGAATGTGACTTGGAAGCAGTAGGTTATTCATGACAGACCAGGGAATAAAGTTGGAATGGACCCATCAGCATAAAGAACTCAATCTAACCAGATTTATCATTTCGGTTAAGCACAGGAAGAGAGTAGAGACAAGTACCTGCTGTTCTAAGCTGGCGGACGACCTGGAGCTGCCCGTCAAAAACACTTGCTCCACAACGGGCTCAGTCGCAAGAGCCGATTTCCCCAGATCCGAGTTGTCGGTCACAACACTTCGCCAGCCAAGAACCGTGTGTCCAAGAGACTCTGCGACCTGCAGTAGTACGAACACAAATATAAAAATCCAAAAGCGAAAGAGAAAGTCGGCTAAAGACATCACCTTGTTAAACACGTTTTTGCTTTCCATCCGCCTCGTCTCGGAAGTGGGAAGAAAAAACATGCCGACGGCGTACTCGGATGGAGGGGGAAGTTCACATCCGATCTCGTCTTTGGCGATCTAGGAGAACAACGTTCAAACCAAGAGGGAGAAAAAAAAACTGGAGGGCAGCATGCACAGAAAGTTACCGATGCAAAGAAGTCATGGGGGAGTGCCAAAAGAACGCCTGCACCATCACCAGTGTTAGTTTCACAGCCACAAGCACCACGATGTGCCATTCTTACAAGCATCTCCAGAGCATCAGTGACCTGCAAGAGGAAAAGAAAAACGCACGAAAATCTCATCAATTCGGGATACAATCCAATTGAGCTAGAACTTACAGTCTGGCGGCTCGGCTTGGCTGAAAGCTCGGCAACAAAACCCACCCCACACGAATCCTTGTCCAATGCAGGATCGTAAAGTCCAAGAGGACCCTCTGGCAGTTGGGACATGGACGACATGGTGACCACGCAGCGGTACATTCTCCGCTCCCCATTCCATCGCTGGAGATGGCTATCTATCCAAATTTCTCGAGGGCAAAAAACTAGTGTGAAGAACCTTCAGTCCGGCGGTCGCGCATGACAAGGACGGCACAGCTGAGCTCAAGCGGCTGGAGCAGATTGACCCCAAAGCGGTAGCTTCCGTTGCTGCTCTCGATCTCTACGCTCGCACCAAGAAGCCTCGAATCAAACCCTCGCGCGAGTGAAACGCGGGCGGCAGCGATCAGGCACACAATTCCTCGAAATCTTGAATCGGACTCGTGGCATTCATACCACACCTTACAGCCTTTATTAAGTTACATATAGCTTTAAAAGATAAAATGGAATGCACAATATCTGCAAACTTGAAGATGGTCCTAGACAAAAATTATTGGTACTTGTAGAACTGCGCAATTGACAGTTGTGGTGGTTGCTGGCGATTGTTTGAGCTAAGCACACAGGCATCTTACGATTTGAAATACTGCGCACAAGCGGGGCACATGAACGGTACCTGAGTGACACAGTTGACTTCGTTTCTACGTTCTTCCCCTGCTTCTTCGACTAGATCTGCCCCCTGTTCTGGATCCACCACCGGTGCTGGATTGTAGTGGACACAAGGCTGGTGGTACCACAGGTCACAAACGTCACACTGCACCCAGGGAGCATCGCCTCTATCTTCCCAACAGTCGGAGCAGCTTTGCAAATCCTGTGACAGACGAGAGTTCCATTAAAGAGGAAAAGGAACAAGAAAATAAAAGACAGCATACCGTTCTGGCTGTGTTTTTCCTGAGCTCGTCCAGCCTCGCATCAATGCTCGAAAGCTGTACACTGAAGAAGCTGAAAGGCATCACGACGACATAATACTCGAGGCCAGGATGGACTCTGGATGTTGCTCGGTACGAGACCCACCTGTCCGTGTAAATCACCCACACAAGCACCTTAATCCGCTTGTCACCAACAAACAGTTCCTCAGCCTTCTTCGCCGTCTTCTTGTGATGAGTGATGGCGTTCTTGGCGACAGAAAAATGGAGAGCCACGATGAAGTTTTCGTCTTCCAAATAGATGTCAATGCCAGCGTGGTTAAAGTCGTATGGGACATGCGCTGTTCCTTCAACGGAGAGCAGCTTTCCGGACATTGGTCCATGGAAGTTGAGGACGTGCTTCACTGTTATGTGTGCCCTTTTGCCTTGTGCGTAATAAAAGCCTTGAGTCATAAACTTTGTGCTGAGGATTCCTGCCATCTCGGCATTCCAGCCGATGCGAGCCATGTTGTCGTCCTTAGCAACGGCTTGTACCCAGAAGGTGACCTGCTTCCGCTGCTCATCGAGGTCATCCTCGCGCATGAGTCCAGCTAAGGTGCTAAGCGCATAGGAATGAAAATGAGGGGTGAGAGCCTCGAGGGTTCCATCTTTGCCCACGTAGAAGCACTTGGGCTCTAGCAGCAGAGGAAGCCTTGGAACTGTTTCTGTGCCCGTCAACTCTTTCTGGAGCTGCTCTCGAACGTTCCCTCCCAGGTGGCGCTGGATGAACGTACGTATATCTGCCTCAAATGATATGATGCACTGGTGGAACACTTCCATGTCTGTGTCGAATTGATCCAGCAGCCTTGGAACTCGACCTGTTTTAGACAGATCGACGCGCTGGAACTGAAAGAGGTTGAGATAGGATGCCAGTTCTTTGTCCTACAAAGCGCACACATCTCAGAATGTGAAGAACAAGACGCCTAAGAACTTACATTCAGTCCTCCAACAACCAGCTTGCACTTCGGGGCCCTGTGATGACGAAGAACTTGCGCCAATACACTTGAAAGTGAAGCACAAAAGACGACGACACAATACTCGAGAAGGCGGCAGAGAGATTGTACCCCCGGACTATCTCTCGCCATGTTGCCGTCATCAACGACAATGGTCAGGTCCACATTTATCATCCTCTTCAAGAAGTTTTCCACGTCGAAGATCGATACTTGGCCCGCCTCTATCGCTTCGAGCTCCTGCAAGGCAGCGTTGTCGTCCACAAAAGCCTGAAACAGCCCATCCCAGAGCGTATTCTCCGGGGCCCAGGCCATTTGAGCTCCGTCGACCAGCATAATCCGACGCGGCCGAGACGAGGAGCCGATCCTGTCGCGCGCGAACTTCCCATAGAGGTAGAGCACAGACGCTGCGACGCTGCAAGTCTTGCCAGCGCCCGGGGTGCCCGTTATGTACCTGAAACCGCAAATACCGTAAGGACGAAGCTGCTTGCGACCGCGCTTTCCTGGAGGCGAGACTATCTTCGATTCTGGGAGTTTGACCTCGGGGCGCTCCTCCTCTATGAAATCGATGAGCTCCTTGGTGAGAGGCCTGCCCATGTAATGAAACGTCGTCCGCTGCGAGAAATGGTAGACTTCCATAACCTTGGTCGGATCCTGAAGATCGGCTTCAGTGAGCTGGGCGGAGAAAGCCATGAGCAGCCCATGGATCCTCTCCGCATCCTCACGACGGACATCCACAACCCTCTGGCGCTTGACACCGCCGCCGTCTTCCATCCCAATACAAAAAACCCTATCCAAAAACCCTAATAGTGCAGAGACGTACTTAAACGATGTACGAAAGGAATGTATGTAAAAAATAAAGAATTTTGGACTATTTTCTGCTCACCACTATCTCTAGGAAGCTAACTCTCAATATCTGTGACCTAAATTATTTACCTTGGAGAGCTATTGAGAATGCTGAAGCTGTGTTTATAGTTTGAAAATATAAACTATGGGTGCAACACAATTTGCACATCATTTTATGTCAAATCCAACATAGCACTGCCACCATTGAGTTGCTTTGTCTAGGACAAACAAACTCACTCTTATTAGCCACTTCACTACTGGATATTCTGCGACATGGTTTATTATCGCTAAATTATTGTTTTGCATCTTCATTTCTCTTTCTTGTTTTTTCTTCTTTCAGTCTCTGGGAGGCATATGTATTCCTTTTCTCTTTAAGGAATGTTTGGTGGTCTACAAAATGATATAGGATTGTAATAGTTATCTTTGCCACCACTTAAGATTTACATTCCCTCCTCCTTTTATGTCCATTGCAATCCTAGACCTTTAGTCATAAGTTCCACTTGTTTCCTCTTGAAAGGAATCTCCATTCCTTAACCAGGATGCCAGTAGGTATGGATCTCTATGTTGCTTTGTTTATCCTAAATGATCATCCACCAGAGCTGCTGGCAACGATCAAATGGAAAGTTCCAAGGGATAATGCTGGCCTGGCTGCGTGAACGATCAAAGATCGTAGATCAGGTTTCGCCACTCTCCCTATATCCTCACCGTCTTTGCCTGATTTCTCCCAAACCAAAAGAAGCAAGTCTTTCCTTGTGGGATTTGATTGATAAGTTGGAGGAAAGCGAAGTTGCTGCTGGTGCTATTGTTCTTCATTTGAATCGTCTGTGTTGATAGGGCGCCGTCAAATGCCAGTATCCGGTTTAGAGCTAATCTGAAAATACGCTAAATATAATTTTTGATTAGAACCACTCATTTAATTAGGATAAAAACCAACCCAACAAAATTTACAACAGGCAAAATTTGGCTGTCCATTTTATATCAACATCCCCATCTTCTTCCGAGCAGCCTTGAGCTCCTCGCCAACCTTGGAAGTGTCTTCCATCAGAAACTTGTCAATCTGTGCTGCCGCTTCCCTCCCTTCGGCAATCGCCCACACAACCAGCGATTGTCCTCTTCGACAGTCACCAGCGGCAAAGACACCCTTGACATTTGTAGCAAATTTGCCATACTCTGCTTTAAATGTGGTTGCTGCATCATTGGTAGCCACTTTGAGCTTCTCAGCTACGTCCTAGAAAGTAAAATCGTCAGCTGGAATGAAAAGAAAAGAAGAATTTAGCTCATTTCACCTGTTCTGGTCCCACGAATCCCATGGCCAAGAGCACCAAATCTGCCTCTATTATCTCTTCCGACCCTTCGATTTCCTCCCTCTGGAATCTCCCACTCGCGTCCTTAAACCACCGCACCCGTTTGAGCACCAAGCCGCTGACACGGTTATCACCATCGGTGATAAACTTCTTTGTAGTCACCTCGTACGACCTGGGGTCACTACCAAACTTCTCCTTTGCCTCGGCATGCCCGTAATCGACGCGGAAAACTCGTGGCCACTGCAACAATCGCGAGCCGTAAGGAACACTCCAACACAGAGACGAAAGGACAAGAAACTCTTACCTGTGGCCAAGGATTCCCCGGTGCACGAGTTGCAGGAGGCTGAGGAAGTAGCTCCAGATTTACAACGCTCTTGCAGCCGTGGCGGACTGCAGTGCCGATGCAATCTGTGCCTGTATCGCCTCCTCCTATCACCACCACCTTCTTGTCTTTGGCGGATATGTAGTTGTTGTCCTTGAGCCCCGAATCCAGCAAACTCTTGGTATTCGCGTGAAGAAACTCCATCGCAAAATGTATGCCTTCATATTCTCGGCCTTCTACTTTAAGGTCCCTGAAGAAAAACAAATAAAAAGATGGTTAGATTTAGAAACAAGTGAAGAATTCCATACCTGGGCTTAGTAGCGCCACAAGCAAGTAGTAAGCTATCATAGTCGGACATTAACCTCTCCACCGAGAATAACTTGTCAACTCCGACATTCGCATTAACGATGAACTCGATCCCTTCGGCAGCCATCAGGTTCACTCGCCGTTGAACGACCTCCACTTTATCGGTCTTCATGTTCGGTACACCGTACATCATGAGGCCTCCAATTCTATCCGCTCGCTCAAACACTGTCACGGAGTGGCCGGCCTTATTGAGCTGATCAGCGGCTGCTAGACCTGCCGGACCGCTACCTACAATCGCCACTCTCTTCCTGTAAAGAGACAACGACGTGAGAAACAAACGACGTGAGTAAAACTTGTCCCTACATACCCGGTTCGATAAGCTGGCGGACGAGGAACCATCCAACCTTCCTCAAAGGCTTTGTCGATAATGGTACACTCCATCGTCTTAATAGAGACCGGGTTCTCTATAATTCCCAAAACACAGGCACCCTCGCAAGGAGCAGGGCACACACGTCCCGTGAACTCTGGAAAGTTGTTGGTTTCCAGGAGCCTGTCCAAGGCTTCCCGCCAACGACCTTGGTGAACAAGTTCGTTCCATTCCGGAATCTTGTTTCCAAGGGGACATCCACTATTATCCTGCAGATACAAAGAGATGACTAAATAACATAGATGAACTGGAGGGGAAGTCATACCTGGTTGCAGAATGGA